GCAGTTGTGATAAGGACATTTTGCTTTGAACATTCATTCAAACCAGCCTGAAATCTGATGAAGGGTGTAATTTTGCATTTATTTGCATTTATTTTCCATACACCTACTCATGCTTTTCTGAGGATTTCTGGGAGCATAGAAATCCTGACAGAAATACAGAAAAAGGACAACTTTTTCAGAAAGTGAATTGAGAAAATGGCATTCAAGCACCAGCATAACCAGAATTTCCTGTTTAGCTGACAGAGTCTGAGCCTTGCCTAGAGAAACTGAAGCCAGAAGAGTATTCAGGGAGAAAAAATTTAAATTCTGTGAGTTGTTAGAGCTGCTTGTTACGTTCTGTGGATTCATGAATTCATGAATGTAGTATTGATTTCCTTGTTGTGTAAAGCATTTAATCTCCAGTGCATCTGCCCTCAAAGCCTCCCCATTTCTGTGCTCTTCTCCATGAGCGCAGATGCTCTGTGCTGCAGTACTGATCTCAGTGCCTGGAGCTCTCCACCCAGTCCTTTCCTTTCAGTTTGGCAAGTCAGTGAGACTTTTTCAAGACTGCTTTGTACTCTTTAATTCAAGGAACTATGAATTTTGTTTTGGTGGAAAAGGGTTGAATTCTTAAAGCAAATGTACCTCAGTTATTTATTAGTTGTGGGTTTTTAGGAAACTATTTATGGAATTGTACCAAACCCACAGGTATTGAAACATCCTTATCAGTCTTTATCTAAAAGACTGAACCTGCTGTGGTGCTGCACTTCAGCAGCTGGTCCTGCCCACTCATGCATTTCATGTCCCACTTTGAACATTGACCAGAAGAGTAGGTGCCTTTTTCAGTCTAGAGCTGCTGCTGATTCTCTTGTTCTACAACCTTGCACTCTGAACCACAGCAATCTTGTCTGCGTTTTGGGTGGTGGAGAGGTGGTGAGCTGTCAGGATGCATATGTGACCTTTACTGTCTTTGACAGCTCCTGACAGTCTGCACAACGGGAAAAACAAAAGGTGAATTAAAAACTAGTATAGCAGCTGTTCCCACCTCTAGTGTGATGCCTCTAGTCTGGTATCTGTGATAGAACAGTCACAGAGCTTCTATGGCCTTGGAGATGAAACACTTTATCTTGATGACTAGTTCAGGTTCCTGTTTGTACATCTGGGGTGAGGGACAGGAGACAGTGCTCACTGTATTTTCATTTGCCCCAGAAATCAGGTCAAACAGACTTTGCCAGGGTTACAGCCTGGCCCTTCTTTTCTGCTGCAAGCAGATCTTAGTTGATTAGTTTTACAAATTGTCCTCAACAAATTGGCCTGGCTCATTTGACAAGTCATGCACTTTCTGGCTTACTTTTAGCAACGTGGTAAACTGCTCCAAGTTCAGTCCCACTCATTGCAACCCAAATCCCAAATAATTCCAAATTAATCCATCAAAGAGTTCCATATAATCAAATAACATGCTGGATAATTTTGTATTTCAGTTTTAAGCACTAAGAAAGCATGTACTTGGTTGGTATACACACTTAACACCACTCAGGACCTCAGTTTATTGGTGTTTATGTTCATTTTTAAAAATAATATTTCAATACATTGTTTAAGAAGCATTCTGTAACTTGTATGATGCTTGCATACTTTGTCGAGATATAAACTATTTTTCTTTTCGTTATTCAAAGTAACAACAATGCAAGTACTTTCCATGGCTGCTGAAGCAGTCTGTGTCTGGGAGCAGATATTCATCAACAGAAGAACAATTTAATGGATATTTTTAGACATAATCCAATGGATAACTGTAGTAGAAGTGTGTCTACATCCTGTTGATAGCGTAGTCACAACATGTGGATATGCTGCTAATAAATATATCCAATTAGACTGAATTACAGCATTGAAGTGGAGCCAGCACACATTGTAGCAATGAGAGTTTATTTTCCATGGGTCTTGTGTAAGCTGTCATGAGGATAATGCCATGGGGCTGTCAGTGCTCTGGGATACACTGAACAAACCCACATCACCTGCAAAGACTTATAACTGTAGGGTAAACACACGCCCTACATTGTCAAAAGCAACCAGTGATTTGGAGCTTGCCCATAAAGAAATTGTCTTTCACAAGGTATATCCAACAGGAGTTTTTCCAAACTCCTAAAGGAGAAATTCCAAACCCAGTGCCATTTAAAACACCTAAAGAGAACCACTGTTCATTCCTAAAAATGTAGACACATTTTTGTGGCTCATACAGCAGTTTGGCATCTAGTCCCTATTCATTTTATATCTTTGAAAATCTTCCTGTTTTGCACTGAAGAAAAATAGTAGAAGTTCTCAAAAAGTATTAATTTTTTTAAGCTAGGTACCCAGTTGTAATTGAAAACTAGAGGAAGCTCATGCCTTAATTTTCTTAATGCTCCCAAATATTAAGAGAATTTACTTTCAGCTAATTAATATCAACAGCAAGTCTTACAATAGCAGCAGTTGGTTTAGCTTTGGGCAGGAATCTAGCAAATCAAAACTCAATATGTAAAGCATCTTGGAAATCAGTTTTGCAAAGTATATTCATTAAGCACTAAGTTCACTACAGCTCGTGATTTAGTTTCAAAGTACTCATTTTGTGGGAAAAGAAAATTAAAAATTATCCACTGGATATATGAATATATCACTAGATATGTCTAGAAAACCAGTCAGTATGTGGGACTGAAGCTCAGTTCTTTCTCACTTTCTGTCACCTGTGTGACTTGTGCACTATGGAATCCCACTACCTTCACAGAAGCTCCCCATGCTGTTCATACCCCTCTGAATCGTTGCTCATGGATTGTACCAGGAGTTACTTGATTCATTAGAGAAGTGAATGACAAATTTTGCTGCTCATAAAGAAGGCATGAAATTCATTTACTCTCTTTTAACTATGCCATTTCTGCACTGCCTTTCAATGAGTAGTTTATTTTTACCTCTGGTGTGTGAAGAGGGCATTTCTTGATAGGCAGTATTCCAGGAAGAACCTCTCTTTTAAAAAAGTAGATTTCTACCTAGAGCTAAAAATAGATGCTTGAGACTTGTTTTCCTTCAAGTTTGCTTGATATACTGAGAGTAAAACATTTTGCTGAATTGCTATGGAAAGACATGTTTTAAATATTGTCAGAAACTGATGATTTGCAAAAAATTGTTTTGATTAATATAGTCTGCCAAAACCAGATATTCAGGTCATCGCTTAACAGTCATGTAACTCTTCTTACAAATACTCTCCAAGGCAGTTGGCATGAGACGATAATCAGCGGCAAACAATGTGGCTATGGAATAACTTTGACATATTTCAGTGCATTAGAATGCATTCAAAAAGGTTACTAATTTGGCAAAACTTTGTGAATAATTAGAGACAGTGTTATGAATTTCTTTTCTTGGTTACCCTATCATGTAAAGGAGAATATGTTTTTTTTATTTTAACACATGTTCTTTTAAAAATAAATCTTTCTAATGTCTTATTTTAATGTGTGGCAGAACTTCTGTAGGCTTGTGAATCATCAGTCCTTACTGTAAATGTAAAAAACAGCTTGGAAGCATACATGACTCAACCTCTAGGTCAACAAGAAGAAGGAAAAGCCTAGAAGCTCTAAATACAAGAGCTAACCTCCAAAAACTTAAGTCTGTGCATGCAGTTAGTAAATCCCCTTTTCCACATCACTACTTCTACATAAGAAGTGGAATAAATGCTTAGGCAGTCTACAAATAAGAAACACAACAGAATAAGTACCATAGAATCACAGAATAATTGAGGTTGGAAAAGACCTCTGAGGTCATTGAGTTCAACCGTGTAATCAGCACTGCCATTTTCACCACTAAACCATGCCTCAGTCTCACATGTACACTTGTTTTGAACACTTTCAGGGTTGGTGACTCAACCACTTCCCTCAGAAGCCTGTTCCAATGATCAACAACCCTCTCAGTGAAGAAATGTTTCCTAATATCCTGTCTCATGGCCTTCTAGGATGGGGGGGGGAGGTACAGATGTCATTTATTTGGATTTGTGTGAAGCCTTTGGACACCCCACCAGAACATTCTTCTCTCTAAATTGAAAAGACATGGATTTGATGAGAGGATAAGTGGATAATAAGTGGATTGTATGGACATAACCAAGAGGGCAGTGGTGAAGGACTCAGAGTCCTTTTGGAAATCAGAGACCAGTGGTTCCCCTCAGGGATCTGTATTTGTACCAGTGTTATTTTAATATACTCATAAATGACACAGTGATCAACAAGTTTGCAGTGGTGCACCAAGCTGAGTGGTGCAGCTGACATGCCTGAAGGACAGGATGCCATCTGGAGGGACCTGGACAAGCTCGAGAAGTGGCCCATGGGAATCTCATGAGGTTCAACAAGATGAAGTGCAAGGTGCTGCACCTGGGCTGGGGTAACCCCCAGTGTCAGCACAGGCTGGGGATGAAGGATTGAGAGCAGCCCTGCCCAGAAGGACCTGGGGGTGCTGGTGGGTGAGAGGCTGGACATGACCCAGCCATGGGCACTCCCAGCCCAGAGAGCCAAACGGGTCCTGGGCTGCACCGAAAGCAGCGTGGGCAGCAGGGCAGGGAGGTTTTGTCCCCCTGCTCTGCTCTGGTGAGAGAGACCCCACCTGGAACACGGCACCCAGCTCTGGGCTCCCAGCACAGGAAGGACATGGATGGGCTGGAGAGAGTCCAGAGCAGGGCCACTGAGATGATCAGAGGGCTGGGGAGCCTCTCCTGTGAGGAATGATGGAGAGAACTGAGTTTGTGCAGCCTGGAGGGAATGGCTTAGGGGTGACATAAATGCAGTTTTCCAGTACCTGAAGAAAACCCTCATGAAAGACAGAGGGACTTTTTACAAGAGCCTGTAGTGATAGCAGGAGGGGGAATGACTTCAAACTGAAGAAAAGTAGGTTTAGATTCGATATTAGGAAAACATTCTGTGAGGGTGGTGAGGCACTGTGACAGGTTGCCCAGAAAAGCTGTGGATGCCCCATCCCTGAATGTATTGAAGGCCAGGTTGGATGGGACTCAGCAATTTGGTGGACAGGGGTCCCTGCCAATGGCAGAGGGGTTGGAACTGGATAATCTTTAAGGTCTTCCAATCCAAACCATTCTATAATTCTATGATTCTGATTCTTTACATCTCCTGCAGCAACTTGAGGCCATTTTCCTCTTGTCCTCTTGCTTGTTACCTGGCAGGAAAGGCTGATTCCTACCTCACTAAAAATCATTTCAGGACTTTCCTCTGAAACAGGTTTCCAGGCTCCTGCTTCTCTTCCTGGCTGAGAGGGAAGGAATGAAAATCAGAGCAAGAAATTGCAGGGCATGGTCAGCTGCGCTGTCACATTTTCACCCATTCTTGTTACTGAGAGTTTCCATGTGGTGTTTTTTCATCTTAAGCCCACAGACAACTGCAAGGTGAGAGAAAGAGAGGTAGAAGAGAGGTGCTCTGAAAGGGAATAAACTGGAAAAAAATTACAAGAAAGGAAAGGAAAACAGAGTGCTGGGAAAGACTGGGGAACTCAGATGCAGGTTCCGGACAGGCATGAGGGAACCAGTACTTTTAAAATGCTTAGTATGCTCTGAATGCTACAAATTATAAACTCTTTGAGGACACAAATAAGTAACTCATGTTTTCAAATTTCAGCTTCAAATTTGCTATATCACCATTTTGTCATAATAACAGAACAAGGTAGACTTTGACTTCTTTGAGGAGTATATTCTTGATCCCTCACCAATGTCCCTGTTATTAAGCAACACAGTTTAGTACAACATGAAAACCTAAACATGCCATGATTTACTGTGATTTACAGTTCCTTCTTACCTTTTTCTCCCATGTCCTGGAGGCATCTTCTTTTGAATCATTGCTGTTACAGCAATAATTTGCGCAATGGCTAAAAGCAGAGTAATCAGCTGGTAGCCACAGATCAAGAACAAAACATCCCAGTCTCAGGAATAGCTACATTTTGGTCAATTAGTGCCAATCTGGAACCTGTAGCCTGGAAATGAATGAAACCATTGTAAGTTACTTTGGTTTATTTGAAAACTAAACAGGAAATATTTCTTACTTAGACAATTGACATTTATTCACCAGAGGCCATCTGAAAGTGCTTAATTTGGTCTGAATATTCTGTGGAATTGGATGCTTTGTCTTTCATAATTTGTACAGATGTTTCCCTCAAGCCTTCTGAATCTTTTCTAGTATTCCTCCTCTGCTTCCATATATTCACTCAGACATACAGTCCATGTTCTTAGGTTATACCAAGAAAACACAATGGCATATCAAAAATCTCATATTTTTTATATGTAGAACCATGACTTTAAACTTGCTAGATCCCCAAAACATGACATTTCCTTACTTGGAGTCTGAGATGACTACTTTTTTTTTCTGTGACCACTTTAAATGGGAGAACAGTGCTACAAAGAGAACAGTCCCCATTTTGAGTCATAAATTAAGCACTTTGTTAATGTTTTTAATATTATCAATTTTTAGCATGAGATCACAATGCTGTCTACACATATAAGCACATTGGATAAATAACTTAAGGTCAACAGCCTCCTTGGATGACTCATTCATTCTACGGATAACTGGATTGAAATTAATATGAACTAGAATGAAATTATATATAAAATATATTTTTGTGACACAGAAATAAATATTACTTTAAAAATTAATAAAGAATTAATTAGTAAAAAAACTTGAGTCTGCACATCCCCTAATTAGATTACATAAGAGAACTTAATCACTTCAGGTTACAGCAGGATGACACATATTATGCTTTTCATTGCATGTAATAATAAATGCAACAACTCTAAAAGTTTAATAGAGATACAGGAACACAAGTTCCTTTTTGCAGCAGCACAAACACCACATTAGTTCATATTAAATGTAGCTTTACAAGGATTTTTTTTCTTGTGAATTTAACATGTTTTTGACAACCTGGTGCTCAGTAAATAGTGCCATGGAAGCTGCCAATCACGGACAATTACTTGGATGTATAATGTGCATCTGCAAAGATTACTAAACAAGATACTTTCTCCTGCTATTAAATTAGAAATAAAGCTTCATTCTCTGTGAGTTACAAGTACTGTGGTAGCTGTGAAGTGTTTCTGAGGTTTGCTGCAAAATCTGTGTGGCATCTGAGAACACACATGTGAAATACAGTGCAGTGCTGAGAGATTTCTCAATACCATCTCTTCCTTATCTGGAAGATACTGTTTTTAGGGGGAAAATATCTTGTCAATTATATACTTTTCTATCTCATTAACAGTTCAAATTAATTGGTCAGAGGGACCAATGACTTTAAAACACATCTTTGAAAACTGGAATGTCTGAAATAAATGTAAGACATTATTTAAATTCAGGAAGCAAAAATATAATACTAATTTTATCTTTCCTCCAGATTTACCAACTATCAAAACTAAAATGTCACTCCCATGAAATAATCGTAAGTTTTTGTTGAGATTCAGCATGGTCTGAGAGACCTCACTTTGTTTCTGGGCTGGTCAAAGAAGTCTCATGGGACTCAGTTTCCAAGGAGGTGACCTATAATCCCTTCCCATATAAACTAGAAAGAAGGGCCATCTGGGTCGCTAGGGAGAAGGGTTAACAAGTGAAGCTGATGTGACTCAGCTTGGCTCTGGGAGCTTCTCAGGGAGAACATGACCCTCTCTGGAGGCCAGGAAAGCTTCACTCAGCTGCAGGGACTCAGTAAGTGGTGTGGTTGTGGATGTATGAGACTGGCCTGGCTGGGATGAAGCACTGTCTGTAATGAGAATGACAAGGGAGGGAGGTGACCGGGCTAGTATCACATTGCTCTGCTTTCTACTCCTTCAGGGATTACAAACATGCCTATAAATGGGTAAGGTGAAAGTAAAGTTTAGTAGAAATTCAGAGATGGATTGAAGTTATGCTGTGGCTTGATACTAGGATGCTGAATACTAACATTTCCCTAAAATATGCAATGAATTAAAAAGAATGCTTGTTAGACTGTCAACTGGTAATGATAGGAATGGCAATAGAATTTAAAATATTTGAATTAGTTCTAGTTGTGCTAAAATATAAACTGGAAGCACTGTCCAGGCCTCAGGGCAGGTACCAGTGCAGGCTGTGCCTCCCAGGTGGGGTTTATCAGTTTCCACTGGGATCTTTCAGCAGTGGAGGGGTTTGGAGCAGCTGATGCAGCTCCAGAACGCAGCTGATGCCAGGCTCCAGCGGTGCTGCCAGGGCTGGTTACACACTCTCCTGGCAGCCTCGCTGCCCTGCTCACTGTGTAGCAGCTGGAAACAGCCCTGCTTGCACTTCAGGCTGAGGGTTTCCAGATTTACTCTGTTGCTGACTGTGCTGCAGACAGCAGAGCCCTGCTCCTAGACCCAATCCCTGCTTGTGACCATTTTCGGCTCTGTGCCTGCTGCAGAGGAGCAGCCACCAGCTCAGTGAGTGCAGTTAGTCACATACCCAGGTCCTGTACTCTTCACTAGGAAGTTTTTGGGATCATAGTCAATACATGGAGTTAGCTGTCCTTTGAAGGCTGATCTGAATTTCAGATTCAGTCTTTTAGAGTACAGTCTACTTTCTCTGGTCCTCTGTCCAAAGGTGTTTTGATTTTATTAAAACAGCTAACTAAACACCACAATCACCTTTGAGCTTTTCTACACTTGACTTACAGTTACATTTTAAAGCCATTCAAAATATCTACCTGGACCTGTTCTGAAGATTGAGCACAGCTGGTTTCTAAACTGAGCTAAAGGAGTCAGTGTGGTATCTTTATGGTTAGGATCACAGCATTAATTAAACACAAGGACAATTTATGTCACGTAAACAAACAAGCATTTCTAAAGCTCCAGAAAACTAAATATGTAATGCTTTTATCTGACTCAGAAGTGCTTTAAATACTATGGATCAAAGCCTCATTGTAAGGATTTCTCCAGTTTTTGCCTAATGTGAAATCCTGTTTGAGGGAAAAAAAAAAAGGCTTTTTTATTACCTTATAATATTTTTTGTCTTTTTCAGATAAATAAAGTAACTGTGTCCATACAATTAAAAAATAATATTACCATGTAAAAAAATGCAAGCTGTAACTGTGGTAATCTAAATTTTAGAACCTAAATTTAGCACCTATAAGGTAGAGGAAAAATGAGACACTATTTTAAGAAATCAATGTATGTCATGTAGCAGTCTTCAGGCCCCACCAGATCCTGTGCTCATTTTAGGCACTGTACAAATACCAAGGATTTCCCGCTCTCTCTCTTAGACCTTACAATCCAAACCTGTAGTGCTGCTGGTTATTTTCTAGAGGAAGCCCCAGAGCCTGCTCAGATACTGACCACAACCCAACTCTGTGTGCAGGAAGATGTTCTGGTGAATCTCTCATGTTATGGTTTGACACTGGCACGATGCCAGTGCCCCTCTATGAAAATGGGGCAGGGCCATGCAGGGCCAGAGTACAGAGAGGTGAGATGAGATGAGATGAGATGAGATGAGATGAGATGATGAGATGATGAGATGAGACACATTAGGTGGAGAAACATCCATAACAGCTATATCAGCATCATTTCTTTTCCAAGGGCATCACAGAACTGGGAATTTTGAGGCTGTTTCTGCCTGAAGAGAGGGTAAGGGCTGCATGTCTTTTCAGAAAAGGCACCATTTTCTTTGAGACATCAGGCAGAAGGAAGCAAGGTGTTGTTCACAACTCTGCAGACTGGACAAGAAAAAGTAGCTGAGCAATAAAAAAAAAAAAATTAGCAAATGTAAATAAGATGTACATTAAGTCACTTACCTTTCATGGAACTATCCAGATACTGAAGTTGAAAATTTAAACCACTTTTTGCATTTGGTGGTATTGAATGTTGAGAGAATTGTTTCTTTCTTGTTGCTGAATATGATCTCTTGCAGGTTTAGGTCCTTAGACAGCTTGATAATTATATCTTGATTTCCAGAAATCTATTTGCTAACATATGCATTTTAAACAACAGATATCAAAACATTTCGACAAAAATAGTAATTATTCTCTAGTCAGGGTGTGTTATTTCAGTTGTATGACTAATTACATGGGTTTGGTTTTGTTCTATAATTAACTTGCTACTTAGGCTATTCCCATATTAAAGTAATTTTGCTTCAAAATATTAATCAAACTATTTTAAGTATCACAACAAAAATTTTTAGCTTCAGAGGAAAAGTCATTTCCACATAAGTCTTGTAGGTTGATGTCAATTTTTGAAGTGTCCTTACCCAGACACACAGGATGCCTTCACACATTTTGTTTAGAAGTTACACCCTCTCAAGTGGGACTGTGTTCCTTTTTTAACCCATTAGTTATGGAAAACATAGAGAATATGAATACAGAGAAGTAAGCATTTGATATAAATGAAAATTGGTGATCTTTGAGGTCCCTTCAAACCAAAACCATTCTGTGATTCTGTTTTATCCTGTACATTCAATTTATGAACAATTCTGAATAAAAACTGCAATTTCTGTCAAGGAGAAGAAAGACTGGCAAGAGCTGAGTATTTTTGCAAAGCCCAATCAAGTACTGAGTTTCAATAAGTCTTCTGTGTATTCAGTGAAAACCTTGACATTATACTAACACTCATGAGTGGAATGTAAAGGGTGGGTGGGTGGGTATGTGTTTTAGCCACAGATTTTTTTCTCATTATTTTATTATGCTAAACTGTTATGAAAATATACAGAACTAAGTTAACTGAAGAGACCTTCCAGAAAGTCTCTTTAAAATGCAAGCATTAGATAAAAAGCCCTAAATTAAAAGAGAATCAGAAGGTCAATGAGAGGGACTTTCAGTGTGAGGAGGGAGCCAAGAAGAATAGGAAAATGAACTTAAAGCTGTTTAAGGAACTGAGAGGAACTGCTTGAGAAATTCAGGAAGTATCTTGGGAGATAATAAAAACAGTGAAGATAAACCCTGTCTGAGTGACAAAACTTGAGGAGCCTGAGTCACTAAGATGCTGTTGATTTAAATAGGTACTTGCATAAAAGATTTTTAATTTTCACAGTGAGAGAGGGAGGCACTGGGGCGGAGGGCTTGAGGAGGGCGTGGAGTCTTTGGAAGTATTTCAAAGTCAACAGGGCACAGCCCTGAGCACCCTGCCCTGACCTCAGAGTGCACCCTGCCTTCAGCAGGGCTTGGATTAGACAGCCATCTCCAACCTGAGTGATTTAGTAATCTATGATTTGGAAAAGTAGTCTGAGATGCAATCAGCTCCACAATTTCATTTTTGCCACAACCTTAATTTTTACCTACACATTAATTTTACCCACAATCTTAATTTTTACCTAAACAATACTTTATTTTTAATGTCATGCTTCTGGGGAAAAAAAAAAAAAAAAAAAAAGGTTTAGAATTCCTGTAATTCACAGCTTTGAATTAGACTTGAACATTTTACTTAATATTAATTTTTCTTAATCTGAAGTTTAGTACTCTTCTAGGGAGCTTTTTTCCCTTGGATTTTTTTCACTGAGAAAACACTTGAAAACTGGAAGTACCTTTGGGAGCAATTCAATCCAGTTAAGTCAATGGTACACAATATGATAAAAGCTATGAGAAAAGCTATGTGCATATTGACAAGCTTGTATTAAACTCCATTCTGTTCCATTAATTCATTATGAGCTCATTCTGTGATGATACCATTTTCAAGTTCAGCTATAAAATCTGCATTATGAGCCACTGAGCTGTGTGTATCATCCTTTCCTGACCTGGAAACAGTGAAATTGTGGCTCCAGATAAAAATTTTCAGGTACGTATAATATTTCCTCTCTTCATATTATAGTTGAACAAAATATTTTAAAATGGTGTTCTGGTAAACGTTAAAATGGGCAGCTGAGAAATTTGAACTTCACAATAGTTTTAGGTTTCTTCAAGGTAGACTAAAGCAATAATGTAAGTTTAATCAAATATTGCAAAATATAGTTGCAATGAAAATCTATGCTAAGGTACTCTGGTTTTTTTCATGCCCTGTTATGTTCTAAACACAAATATCTAAAGTTTATATTTTTGAGCTTCCCCTTCAATATCCTCCCCAGGTAGGTGTTGAGTTTTCCCTGGAAAAAAGACTGCCATTAATTCATGATAATTCTATTTCAAAACACTTCAAAAATACAAAAAAATTTATCAGTTAACAATTTTACTTGCCCTAAAGGACTCATTAGTTAAAAATACTTATCTAAAATTGTACCTAAAATCATACTTCTGCTACTCATATTGTTTTTTCCATATTTTAAATTACTAAAAAATAGTAAAATGAGTCTTAGAAGTATGTAGTTTGTTGCAACACAGATGTATTTACAGGCACATTGTGACAGTGTCTGCTGGGATGACTTTGTATTAATATCTAACAATCCAAGAAAACTTTATATGATTCAGTTTAAAAATCTTCACTGAACATTTTGAACTGCTGGAATATAAGTGGTTTAATATGTGTTTTAGAATTAGGAAATAAAAGATTAAATTGTAATGTATGGGATGTTGCCCATGAATTTATAGATAAACCTGATATCTTTATATTGGAACCTGATTTTAAGAACTGGAAATGACAGCCCTTCAAACCATTCTATTAAAAAATGTATGATCATTCTTGGTAGTCTGAGAGCTTCACTATGTCTGAGGTGATACTAAAAAGTTAAAACCACACCAAAATGTAGAAGAAAATCAAGATAAGAGCCTTCATTTCAAGAAGCAGAACATCCCATACACAAAAAGAGTAAATAGAGATTCATCAGAGGTTTGGTAAAGCCTGTAGGGAAAAGAGTCTTGTCTACATTGGATGTAAGCCTTCTGTGGAGGTATATGCTCAGCACAGTGAGGAAGAGAAAAATTAGGCAAGAGGAGGGCAAATGAATGCTTGACAGACAACAGGTTAGCTATGTCTTGCTCAACATCAGCAATCAGAGTTGGTCTAGTCCCAGCAAGCCTTTCTGTCATACTCTGCCAGAAATGTCAATAGGAAAACATATTTCAAAGCTCTGTGGGGGAGGTGAGAGGCTAAGTGTCTTGTTTAAACAAGCTCTGTAAATTTTATATTGCAGCACTTAGTTGGCAATCCCACCAAATATCCATCAGCGGTTCTCTGCCCTTCTGTCTCTGGGATTCACTTTCCAGGTCACAGGCTGGGAGAAGGATCCCTGTGTGTGCCAGTGAACATAGCTTCACAAAGCAGTGTGAATTATCAGGAATTAGAGCTTCTGGACAAGGAGAGAGTCCAATTTTGCTGAAATTAGTGGCAATTAGGTGTCCAAGTAGACATTAGGGATTAAAAGATCTTTGACAATTAGAAAGTAGATTAGGTACTTCTCCTCTGGCAGTATATTGTGAAAAACATTCTCTGAGCATTTTGTTCATAGAGAAACTCTAATCATTGCTGAAACTCTTTATACAATGGTGAGAATTTGTCTTCATCCAGAGTGTAAACATAGGTGCATAGTAATCAGACTGGGTAATAGGTGGAATTCTTTTGTAAAGGGTTCACAGACATGCTTAGAGCAGACAACAAGAAATACAGGATTGGCTATTGCGTTGAACAGTCAGTGTGGTTTACAAGTCTAGACAGCAGTCAACATGTAGCAGCTGCTCTAGCAGAAACCCCAAAGCTGTTTTTCCATTACTTCGCTGGGTGTTTATAAGACCACAGGGATCCCCAAAACTGCTTGTGCATATTTAGGTCTCAGAACACATTGAGCTCTCTGATGCTTGAAGAACTAAAGCTTGTTTGGGGAGCCTGCTGCTGTTCAGTCCTACCCATAACATCATTAACTAAATTCCATGGGCAGTGACAAAAGCACTTCAACACTGACCACTACTGACCTGGTCCAGTGCTGCCCTCACTGCTGATTCACTCTCAGTATTCAAAACTGATGTTGCCTCATCAAGCGAAGAATCTTGGGATTGTGAACTCTGTTAAAATTAGAAAGTATCACAATGATTCCATACCAGAAGGCCAAGACCTATGATGTATGTATTGAAAAGAAAGCAATACCCATGGAGATGTTGGCTGATATAGCCCGTTTGATAGCAGCAGTATGCTTGACATCTTTTTTTTTTGGTACCTCAAAGTAAAAAACCCACAAAAAGCCCCCAGAGCATATGAGAAATTACCCTTTTCTTCATTGTGTATATGCATAAATTTC